CTAATAATACAAATAATTTTAATAATTAATTCTAATATTTTTTTAGAAGTCACATCTTTTTTTATTTTCCAGCCAAACTAAAAGAAATAAGATTTTTCCAGAAAAAAAAAAATATAAGAACTTGTGGGGGAAACCGGAGCACCTGAAGGAAACTCATACAAACACGGGGAGAACATGCAAACTCCACACAGAAATGCCAACTGGTCCAGCCGCACTCGAACCAGCGACCTTCTTGCTGTGAGGCAACAGCGGTACTCACTGCGCTGCCCTATATACACAGTTACTTTTGAAAGTAATGCATTACAATATTGATTTACTCCCAAAAAATTAACTAATTGCATTACTTTTTATTTTAAGTAATATGTTACATTACTTTTGAGTTACTAACACGGGGAGAACATGCAAACTCCGTACAAAAATGCCAACTGACCCAGTCAAGGCTCGAACCAGCAACCTTCTTGCTGTGAGGTGATCGTGCAACACACTCCGCCACCGTTACGCCCCATTCAGCAATTTTTAAAAAGCTAATTAATTAAACTAAAACGTAACTTGCGTATTTTCAAAAAAGTAATGAAAATATTTGATCATTGTTGGTCCTTATTAAAACTTAGTGCATAACCTTGTATCAACAAGCTCAACTTTGGAGTTTTTAAATTATGGAATATTTTATCAATTTTGGAAATATTATACATTTTCATTTCCAGAGATGGATTGCAGCTGGAAGGGCATCCGCTGTGTAAAAACTTGTTGGATAAGTTGGCGGTTCATTCCGCTGTGGCGACCCCGGATTAATAAAGTGACTAAGACGACAAGAAAATGACTGAATACATTTTCATGTGTATGTTATTTCTGTGAACAACACACTCGCATCAGTCTCAAGAAAATATGGTAAAAAAAACGACAACGTTTTACCCACCTGAGTGTATTGTATAAGGAGTAATAGTCTTCATCTGAAGGTATGCCTGACCTTTCCGACTGTCCAAAAATGTCAGTAAGGCTTTCAGGCAGGGAGCTGAGTTTCTCTTTAACTCTGCCTCCCACAATCTCTGACATTTCCTCTGATGTCACCACATTCTAACCCCCACAATGCAGTGCGCATGGCCTCTCCTCCCTGCCCTTAAACACAAACACACACACACAGACACGCACTAGATTTAGTCCACAAATGGACAATTGGAGCAAGCAAATGAATTACAGCACATTGTCTAATTTCTCAACTTTGTCTCACTTAGAGTATCTTGTTTTATCACTTCATAATTCAGAAAATAACTGAGGGAAAATAAATATTTTTGCTAGAATGTTGTATATAATCAGGACAAAAACCCCTCAGCAAAATCTTCAGAATATAGATACGTATTGTATTTAAAATCTACTGACATTCATCGATAAAGTGCTATAAAAGAAACACCTAAAAGTGGAACACCTAAAAGTGTAAACACCATTAACAGATGCAAAAAAAAAAAAAAAAAAAATATATATATATATATATATATATATATATATATATATATATATATATATATTTTTTTTATATATATATATTTATATATATATATATATATATATATATATATATATATATATATATATATATATATATATATTAAAAAAATATAATAAAAAATAACTTCGCCTGCAGTGTCTCACCTTAAAGAATATAAAAAAATATTTTCTTCTCAAATCTTTGCTTTGCTTTCAGATGCGTCTGCATATTAGCAAAACAGGCCATTTTTTAGTGATGAAAAGTAATTAAAACAATTCTAAATGTCAAGGTGCTCTTTCTTTTCTCAGGCTCTTTCGGTGTTTATTCTTTCTATTTCTCATTCTGTCAGATTATCTCTCTTTCATTTTCTCTGCCATTTGACACCAGGGTCATTAACATGTCACGGCTTCACTGGCTAATATGCAGAAATATTCGTAATTTATGCTAAACTTGTGCCTTTTATGCGAAATGATAATCGGCGACAGGGACATGAGTGGCTCTGTAATTAGCAAACATAAGAAATGTGGATTAGAATGAGATGATGTTGAGGTTGGTGAATGGGGGCTCGACTTTTTACATTTTTTCGTACACTGAATGCATGCTGAATGTGTCCGGATGTCTTAATATGAGTTATCGTGCACATTATATATTCTTTTTATATACAGTGACTGCTTCATTACACACCGTACTTATTGAAATATACATATATTAGCAAGTAAGTACCAAAATTATAAACATGACTTCATTCCTCCTAACAGAAGAAAGTAAAAATGAAAAGAGAATTTTGTATATATAATGATTTGAGATGTGTGCCAATATTTAATATCATATATCTATCTTAATATTTAATACAATATAATACAATGTCATGATAATACACATGATTATTATTGTTGTTGTGGGTACTTTAAAACAAAGTGGACATTTATTTATGATTTAAGCATTCAGATCACAATGATGTTCATCACAGCACAACATGCTTGAAGACTTAATAAACTATTTATTTTTAAACACAACATTTTCACATTTATCTGGTCTCACATGCACGATATATTCATTTACATTTGTTTGATTCTTTATGTGTGTATTTGTTAATAATTTTTCAAGAAGGCTCATTTTGTTAACAATAATGCAACTAAACAGACAATGAAAACTATGGGCGATGTTAGTTTCTTATTTCATATTTAATAACTCATATTACACACTTAACAATAAGGTTACGTTAGTTAATGTATTTGCTGACATGAATTAAGAATGAAAAGTACTTGTACATCATTTATTAATTATAGTTAATTTCCGCATTTACTAATTAATTTTTGAGAATTAATTTACTAAACATTTTATTGCATTGCCTTTACAAAACCCGTTCAGTCAAAGCTGTACAAATATACATTTTTTTTATCTTTTTAATTGCAAATTATTTAGTTTTTGCACTGTTTGATATTATTTGCAGTTCTTTTTTATTAGCAAATTTCATTTTTATTTCTCAAAACTTAATTTTCCCTTTGCAGTTCTTAATTTTTTTTCAGCAAAATATTTTTTTATCAAAATTTAAATTTGCTTTGTAATTTTTTAGAGATTTGCATTTATTTATTTTTAAATTTTTGCTCAATAATTTGTTTGTTTGCAAAACTTTCTTTTATTTTGCAGGTATATATGGCCCTAGATTGACTCCATTGAAGAATTAATACTTTTTTTTTTTTGCCCGATTTATCAGATCTCACATGGCCGAGATATTCATTGAAATTAGTTTGATTCTTTATATGTGTGTTTGTTAACGCTTTACAAGAAGGCTCATTTTGTTTCCATTAATTCAACTGAACAGACAATGAAACTATACAATGTTAATTTCTTATTTCATATTTAATGACTCATATAGCTTCTGGGTCACACTTTACAATAAGGTTCCATTAGTTGATGCATTTTTTTACATAAATTAAGGATGAACACTACTTGTACAGCATTTATTAATCATAGTTAATGTTATTTTAGCCCTTTTAATAATGCATTATTAAAATCCAAACTTGTATGTGTTAACATTTCTCACTGTTGAAGTTAGTTAATGCCTTAACTAATGAGACCTTATTATAAAGTGTCATCTATTGTAGCCTACTTTATAATTCTTTTGCAATTTAATCTATTTGAATCATTTGTCTTTTTTGAACATAAACTAATACACAATAATGTAAAGTGTTTTTTGTTATTATACATGTTAAACCATGTCAATATCATGATAATAACACATATCTTAAAAAATATTGATGCACTGAACATTTTTTTAAAGATTAATTTATTAGATTTTTGTGACGGTTAATAAACAAAAGTAAAAGAGAAAATAACAATACAAAAAGATATATATATATATATATTTATAACAGTAAAAAATTGATTAAAAAAATTAAAATAAACCACACATATTCTGCATCTGCAACACAGCATATGATGTGCATAAACAATATATGATGTGCATTCATTTTACAAATTGAGCATATAAACAGGTCAGTACTGAAGTTGAGGTTGGCAGCATGGTGTATTAAGTCAAAAAAAATAATGATAATAAAAGAAAAAAGAAATGAAACAATCAAAAGAGAGAGAAAAGGGAAAATCTATTAGACTCTTCTTTCACGTTCTTTAAACTTGTGGTTTTATGTCAAGAAAGAGTTGTATGCTAGTCCAGCACTAGTACTTGTCTTGAAGGTAATGGGGGTTGGGGGTGGTCTCTACACACCATCACCAGTGTGCAGCATCCACTTGGATGACGCGACGGCTGCCACAGGACAACGGCGCCAGTGCGCTCACCACACACCAGCTATTGGAGGAGTGGAGAGTGATAGAGTTAATTCAGTGGATAAGGATGATTGGAAGGCCATGATTGATTGCCACGATTGGGAGGTGCAGACTGAAAGTGCAAGATGGGCAACCATTCAACAGTAACTGCTTGCCATGCTCTAAGAATGGCAACCAAATCTTAGGAAAATTTAATCACTAAACCTCGAAGAGTATATTTTATTTTTCTAATTTAACAAAAATAAGGTGTCTCTAATCCAATGGGGGTCAAGGGAAACTTCCACTGCAACAAAATAAACCGCCTCGCTAATAATGACAAAAAAGCTATTAAGTAAAAAAAATAAAATGGTCAAAGGGTAGAACTCCAAACAGGGCACTGGACATTATTATTTATACAAATTCCAGTCAATGTTTATCTAATTCGACTGCTTCGAAGTAATAGAGTTCAATGTTAAGAGTACAATCACATTTACCTGACCATTTCGTGACCCTTCACATTGTGATCAACATATTTCCTCACAGTTGTTTTCAATGACCCTATACGTCCTGCAGGGTTTCTTGTCACACTAAGACATCGACGAATATCTACTTCCAACAAATAGATGCTAAAACTATATTTATGTGAAATTAGGATTAAGTCAACTGGCTTTGATAGTGTTTAAAACGCCCTCCTCCGTGTGCTTGAGCGAGAGAGATGAAGAGAGAGAGAGGGGGAGAGCGCATGCGCAGTAGGAGATGAAGCTTCTCCGCTTTCTTTTCGGCAGCTGGCGTGAGGTTCTGGAATTCCAACATGGCAGTAGATGTGGTCAGTATATCTATGGTGGTCAGTCTCTCCAGCCCGGACTTGGAAGCCTTCCAGAACATCACCGACTCGGAGTAAACCCCCATCCCCCGCTCCCAGCAGCACGGCTGGACGCTGTCGCTTTTCTCCGGTGCCGAACAGGTAAATCTTTCACTTTGTTTGTGTCCACCAGCTGTCCGTTTTATCGCGGAGAGAGAGAGAGAGGGGCCATGCCACCGCACGGACAGCGCGCTCGGACACTCGGACACAGGCCTGAGCAACAAAATAAAACAGCGTTTGTGTTCAGTGTGCCTCGAATTGAATAAAAATGATCGTAGTTTGAGCACTAGGCGAGAAGTTTTATTATTGGAGTGGAGTTCTGCAATAAGGCAGCGTTGATCCGGACGTGTGTGTTGTGTGACAGAGAGGCATGCTCTTATCAGCACAAATAAACATCAGCTCTGACTTCAGTTTATAGGCTACATATCACTTATATGCTAAGATGTTTCTTTTGTAAGACTGTTTAAATATTTATATATTAAATAAATGCATAATGTTACTGATAATTGAATAATTACTGTAGGGTGCTTATTTATTAAGTAATTAAAAACAGCTATTTGTAACATATTAATTAGGCAAAATCTAGTTTAAAATATGTATAAAGATTAATTTACATTTAAGCTAAATGACTTTTCTAAATGCACTTTGAAAACAGTGTTTGCATAAATGCTAATTTATATAAATTTAACTATTATAAAATGTTTTTAAAATAACAACGTTATATGATGTTTAACAAGCAAGTCTTGAGAAGTTACACATGCAGACTAAAGGATGACAATTGATAAGCATTTTGCTTCTGTATCATATTAATGTCTTTTTCTTTCCTTCTCTGCAGTTTGTCCGCCCAAAACACTGTTTGTATGCGGTGTGTGTCCTTCAACTTACTGGAAAAGTCGTTCTCGCTGTGGAAAACATTGAAGTGAACCTTCCACCCCTTTCTGTCTCACCTTGCTGATGTCAAGCAACATGATCAGCGGTGTATATGGTAGGTCATATTTCTATTTGATCAGAAAATGCGTGAATTGCATGAATGTTTAATGTAATTGTCACCCCTAATCATGCGGATGGATGCATTTGTGTTTTAATTATTGGCTCTCGCTTTGATTATAAAGCTGGCAGGAAAGTTCAAACCATGAGAGGTGTGTAATAATAATGACCCATGCAGGATTGAGAGCAGACAGCTCTTTTAAATAAAACTACTTATTTAGTACTAGAACATCCCGCGTCTCCCCTCTTGTCCTTATTTTTATTTATAGCCCTTATTTTCCCGCTCAAACGTTTTTCCAATCTGTTTCTCGTCCGGATATTTCATTCATACTGGTCGTGCGGGACGCAGATTGATTTTCAGTGCTATGATAGCATTTTCCTGGCTCGCGTCAGGGGAAGGAGAGTTGAGATTGGAGGTTACAGACCGCAATCATGTAGCGCTGTATCTCCAGTCGGGCGCGCGGGCAGAGCCGCTGCTGCACGAGCGCGTAATAAATGCTCGCGCCGTGATGGGATTCTGGCGGGAAATCAGCCGTGAGCGCACAGTGGCGCGGTTAGTTAGATGTGCATAATTTGGACTCTGATGTATTGCGAAATGACAACACCTCATTTTTCCAATAGTCCTCGTCTCTCTTTGTCTGTCTGTCTGTCTCTCAGTCAGGTGGAGCAGATTTCTGTCGACTTGTCTGAATGAGGTGTTGTTTATCTGTCTGAATGTGGTGTCACCGAGTCAATCACACAAACACTGCACACAATAAATCACAACTGTGATGGGCATTTGTGAATTAGAAACGGACAGTTAAACTACTATGTGCACATGTTTCTTATTATGCTAGCCAACATCAATCACAAAGTGACTTCTGGGTGTCTGTTTATATTGTCTTGCTGCTTGTGTGTGGAGGTTTAGCAGATGAAACATGTCGAAACAGAAATGCGATGACATTTGATGTAATCCACAATATTTAGATTTTATTGAACTTGCTAATGGCTAGGCCTAAACAAGGAATGTGTGCAAAGACCCTGCATGATTCAATTATGACATTTTGCTGTTTGTTCAAACTGCTTAATAAAATGAGCTGAAACAACACAATTCTTGAGATTTTTGGGAACAACTTAATTATTTTATGTTCAGTCCACTTCAAATTGTACACTGCAAAAAATGCTTTTCTTACTTAGATTTTTTGTATTGTTTTTAGTCAAAATATCTACAAATTCTTAAATCAGGAAGCATTTTCTAGACAAGCAAAATATATGGTCTTGTTTTAAGAAATAATATGCCAAAATGAAGTGAGTTTTTCCTTAAATCAAGCAAAATAATCTGCCAATGGGGTAAGCAAAATAATCTTGTTTTTCAATTTGTGATAAGGTTATTTTGCTTACCCCATTAGCAGATTATTTTGCTTGATTTAAGGAAAAACTCACTTCATTTTGGCATATTATTTCTTAAATCAAGGCAATATGTTTTACTTGTCTAGAAAATGCTTCTTGATTTAAGAACTTTAAGATATTTGGACTAGTAACAAGACAGAAAAATCTAAGTAAGAAAAGCATTTTTTGCAGTGTAAAAACTAAGAAGTAAACTTAATTCATGTTGTTCCAGAAATAGATATTATATATGAGTAATTCCATGCATATGTCAACCTTGCCATGAAAAGAAAAATGTTTTCACCGAAATAGCTAAACCATCTCTTAATTTTTTTTTTTTTGCATAGGGAAGTGTTTTAAAGTGCTTTAAAATACTTAAAAATATCTCTGTCAATGTTTTCAAACTATTATTTTTGATTTACCAAAGTCACACAAATGGCAATTTCACATCCTTCACATCAATAACGAAAAAGTGTCACATCCATAACAATGCTTTTCCCTCAAAAATGCAAAAATGTCAAAATAAAATAAAATCAATCATTTTTGTTCTATAAAAAGCCAACTCTTATCCTTTCGATGAGCATTATTTATTTTGGGTTGTGCAGTTTAATTCACAGAATTTCTACAAAATATGTTGTATACTGTAAACTCGCAGACTTTTTTGTCACATGGATAACGCATGTTTATTTTCCTCATTTAAAGTAGAAAAAATGTTCACAGATTGAAATGTTTTGATCCCATAACTCTGTGGTTAGTTGTTTTGGAAAATATAAACAGATGTTTCAATATAATGTTAACGTATACTTTCTCTGTACATTTATGTTTTGTATTTTTACTGCAAATGTCACGTCCATAACGCTGGAATCAGCCATATAGAAATACCCCTTGATCCAGTTATGTGCTTACTGGGAGCACTGTCCAAAGAAATGTTTAATGAAGAAACAAGATTTGTCCAAAGGATATTATTACTGGTTGCGAAAAAAAAAAAAAAATGATAACAGTACATTGGATGGAAGAAAGTTCTCCAAAGGTGGCTCAGTGGATTCAGAGGCTTAAACAAGTCTATATAATGGAAAAAAATGACTGCATGTCTACAAATGAAGACTGATATATTTCTAAAGAGGTGGAAAAGTATTACAACTTATTTAGATATGTATATTTCAGAGGTTACTTAACCTATCATCACTGTAATTTGAGATAACTACAATGCAACACAATGTAACTTGATGTACAAATGTATTGCCTGTAAAGTAATTATGATGGCAATGCATTTTATTTTATTTTCTTTAATTGATTTTTATTTATTTATAATAATTGTATTATTTTGTATGTATCCCCTCATCTGTAAGGGGTCAAGTTTTTGGGGAAAGGGTTGTTCTGAAAAAAATATATATTGAAAAATCTTAAATAAAAAGTAAAAAAAAAAAATAATAATAATAATTCATATCGTTCCAACACAAATTGATTGTGTATTGTGCATTTTTTTACAGTGTATGTGAATGTGTGTACATTAAATATTTATTAATTTATACTAGTTTCTGATATTTTATTGAATAAATATTCCAATGTTTAGTTTATTTATGTATTATTTATTTGTTTATGTAAAATACAGTTTGTAAAGATTTTCTCTTCTTTAGTAGACGAGAAACCAACAATTATGCGCAAAAACATTTTTTTTTAACATTTTACATTTTTTTTACATGTTATAAATGAGCTGAAACAATACAATTCTTATTTTTTATGTTCAACCAATGTTTTAAATTTGTTAAAAGTGTTGAGTTAACTTAATCGATTTGTGTTGGGACATGAACTGTGGAAGCCTGCATTTTTAAAGTGTAGTAAATTATATTACCAAACAATTGGTTCTTATAAGATTTGCATTCTAAACCATGAATAAAAATTAAAGTATTTTTGCCCATACTCTTAAAACAATTCTGAATATAAATCTGCAGATATTTCTTTTGCAAAGTTCTGCAGAGAAATAGTGAAAAAAGTCACCAGATACAGTCTTTCCTTGCTTATAGCTAACAATTTCACTGTCTGATCACTTATTTTGTGATGATCAAATCATCAGACATATCACAATATCCTGTGATGCGAATAAATTAGCCGAATAGATTAAGTTATATGCTTAAAATAAATGAACGCTGCTTTTCTTTTTTGTTTATTTCATTTGATCCCTTTTAATCCTTCGAAAAGAATGTTCAAGGTGTATCCGTGGCCTTGGAAAGCATAAATAAACTTATCTATGAAATGTGCTCACTATAGAAAAAAGTGTGAATGTCAGAGGCCTTGATGAACGATAAGCAGAGGCTTTTCTGAGCTTCATCTATTTAATGGAAGATGCGCAGGGTTATTCGTGTTACATGGTAGCTTGTGAATTCTGTCGTTTCAGACACAAAAAAGAAACAAAAACAAAAAAAGCATACGCTTGTTTTGTTGCCACTCAGTGATTAATTGAGTGTTAGTTTAGACGAGGGCGTCAACTCGAAGTCCTTTGCTGATATACACTTACAGATTTTTTTTCTGTTGTTTTCTTTACACTTCTTGTATAGTGATGTGTAATTTAGATCTTTTGTTACTTAAATAGAAAACGCAAAAGACTAAAAGGATGGTAAGTGATACTAAGGAGGTTGAATAAATGATATTCTACAGAAACAAACATGAAGAAATAAGATGTGAATTCACTTAAAATTACCCCATTTTTGGTTAATTGTGATATTTTAAAACTAATTACATGTTCATTAATAGAAAACTATTAATAACATTCCTGTTACAAGTGGATTGTTGTCCAGTTTATTAGTGATGTCAGTCAATTGAAAAACATATATAAATATAGGCCTATAAAGGCAGTACATTATTATATTACATTATACACTCACCGGCCACTTTAATAGGTACACCTGTCTAACTACTCATTAGCAAAAATGTTTAATCAGCCAATCACATGGCAATAATTTATTGCATTTAGGCGTTTAGACATGGTCAAGACAATCTGCTGTAGTTCAAAGTGAGCATCAGAATGAAGAAGATGCCAGAGGTCAGACAGGTTTGAGCTGATAGAAAGGCAACAGCTTCTCAAATAACCTCTCATTACAACCGAGGTATGCAGAAGAGCATCTCTGAATGCACAACACGTTCAACCTTGAGGCGGATGGGCTACAGCAGCAAAAAACCACACCGGGTGCCACTCCTGTCAGCTAAAAACAGGAAACTGAGGCTACAATTTGCACAGGCTCACCAAAATTGGGCAATAGATGATTGAAAAAACGTTGCCTGGATTGATGAGTCTCGATTTCTTCTTTGATGATTCGATGGTAGGGTCAGAATTTGGTGTCAAAAACATGAAAGGATGGATCCATCCTGCCTTGTATCAACGGTTCAGGCTGCTGGTGGTGTAATGGTGTGGGGGATATTATCTTGGCACACTTCGGGCCCATTAGTACCAATTGAGCATCATGTCAATGCCACAGCCTATCTAAGTATTGTTGTTGACTATGTCCATCCCTTTTTGACCACAGTGGACCCATCTTCTGATGGCTACATCCAGCAAGATAACGTGCCATGTCATAAAGTGCAAATTATCTCAGACTGATTTATTGAGCATGAAAATGAGTTCACTGTACTCAAATG